GTTGGTCTCGCGAAGTGTTTTTTTTGCGTTTCATCGAGAGAATCAAAGATGGTAAGATGGTTGTTGCACATGACATAAAGCACCAAAAACGTGCAGTTGAAAGAAATGAGGAATGGTACAGTTGGTGGTGATCTATGGAGCCAATAAGAGATCAAATTGAAATTTTTTTTAGTGACACGAAGCCCCTATCTAAATTCTCATTTTAAGCTTCTACTATTGTGTCTAATCATCCTTCTCCTCATTCGTGTTGTCCGTGTGTATTATTATTAGAAGCTTTTTATTCAGATCATCCATCAATTGATCGTCGATGAATATTCACTTCCGCTTCATGAGTGGATTCGATGGCTTGAAGATTCTGTTCCACCACATTAATTCCATCGACAGAATCGTGACGTTGATCATCTCCGCGATCTTCGCCCAAAACAGGCGATTGATGCCCTGAGATGTAGGCGTACCGATTTATTATTTCATACACACATTCCATTCCATTATCTAAAATGTATGACACGACGCGTCCGAAGTAGGTTCTGGCGTTGTGATGTGGTGACGGAGGAAAAACATATACATTGATGGCGCCGCTTGAGGTGATAATGGGTAGTTTTTGCTGGAGATAAACGGTGAACCATAAGATATGGTGGTTTATGATTTGACATGATTCTTTGATGCAACTAGGGATAAATCGATCGAATATGGACATGATGATATGTTCTAGGTGGCGGAAAGGAACAGTTTCGTCGCGTGTTGATGATGAGCGCTCGGAAAACATACGTTCGAGAGATTGAGAACTGAAAACGCGAATGCGCAAGTATAAAGCATCAACGATCTTAAAAATGCAATTGATGATCAAACTAAATTTCATAGACTACAATCATTTCATGACATCTTTATATTGTCGACAAATTAGGTAAAAAATTCATTCACAGTAACCCTTTCTAGGACACAATTTCTAATCATGTGACCCATTTAAATTAAAAACAAGCTTTTGGCTTGCAGTTTCATTGGTGATTGATATAATTACTTATACAGTACTTCGATTTTTTAATAAGACACCTGTTCATTATTACTAGTCAATTTTTGTAATTTTCATGGGCAATGCAAATGAAGCAAAATTGGCTAAGATCCAAACCACTGGTCGGTGCAACCGATGTTTGACAGTACAGTAGAAACCTTAAGCACTTCACTGTCGTCATTAGTGTGTTTTTGTTGCAGGCATTCAAAAAAAAAAAAAAAATGCTTAATATGAATGAAGAATCAAAGTCGGCGAATAGAAAATGTGATGTGATGTGAAGATTTTAATTGGTTTTAGAACTGACATATAATTGAGAAAATTCCAAATTCCAAAATGTATAGTCGTAGTAGTAATGGTAGTGATAGTATATTGTATATGGCAATAGAAGAAAAACCCAATGCATAAACTAGAACGCTCCTTTTTTTTTTTTTTTTTTTTTTTTTAGGAAAAAAAAAAAAAAAAAATAAAAAAAAAAAAAAAAAATAATGGAATAGAGTATAAATAGTAATAATAGTAATAGTGATAATGATAATAATAATGATAATAATATAACAGTAATAATAAAAGATTTTCTTTGCACGACACTTGAAAAATTCACGGTTGAGATTGAATAAATAAATTAGATGAATCTAATACTTGCATAGAGACATACTTTCTTGCCAAATATTCTAAGGATTAAAAGAAAATGGATGTGTAGAATATCAGGAAAAATGTAGTACCAAAAGAAAAAGAAAAAATCTAGAGTAAACTATTCGATTGATCGCCTACAATGGAGGGGCTCCTACTTGTATTTACTAGTTGACCTGAGAATGGTCACATTTTGGTTCATTACTTTAATGATCTAAATTGTTGAAAGTAGAACTTAACACCGGCGTACCTTGAATTGGTGGTATCGATGGGTCGCTAATTTCATCGGGGTGATTGTTATGGATACCATTAATCGTGCCACCATTCGGGATATACTTACTGTAGGGCTTTTGTTGGTTGTAGCCATTCATATTACCATTTTGCTTATTTTGCTGGCGGTTATTGTAATTCTTGTTCTGTTGACGTTGTCCATTATTATTATTATTATTATTTTCTGTGAACAAGATAAAAATAGATCACCGTTTAACGACAAGCGATTGAAGAACGAGCGAACTAGAAACAGCCTGTGTAGTTAAATACCTGTGTTGTTGGAGCGCGGTTTTCCGGCCTCAACTCGTAGCTGACCGTGTTCCGGATTTCTAATCTGTTTAAAAATGATTAATGTAGAAAGACTTTAAAAAAAGAGAAACAGGGGAAAAAGATGTGTACATACCGTTTTATCATATGACAAGGCCTTCCTCATGGCCTCTGGGTTTTTTAAGTCGAAATGAGCAAATTGTTTATTCGGCGAGTGTCGAATTTCCAAGACCTTGATGAATAAATGATAATTTGAATTGTTAGCGAGGAACATGGATGTTAGATGGATGGATGCACGGATGGACGCAAAAACCGATACTCACATCATTTGGATCGAATAGGACGTTCAGATCTTCCCGATCCATTTTAGCGGACCATGATACGAAAACGGTATACTTTGGACTCTGATTCTATTACACAACATTAGATGAGAAAACACGTAGTGACACCGGCCATGAGCTCAACCAAAAAATTTGTCACAGGTTCATACCTTTCGATTATTATTATTATTATTATTATTATTGTTATGATTTCTATTATTATTATTGTTGTTATGATAATTGTGGTTATGGTTGTTGTTACTTGTGCCGTTTAGACCATTTGATGAAACAAATCGGCGTTGTGGCGACATTAACATAGAGTTATGCATAATCGACAACGGTTTGTTTTCATTGGGGAAACGCAAACTCGGATTATCATCTAAGGATTCGCAGCCGTGGGTACGGAATTCGTTGGGACGCTATCAACGTAAAACAAGAAAGTCGATTAATGGAGAATGCTTGCTATTCGGCAAATGAGAGAGGGGATCTTGAATATAAGTTACGTACGCCGTAATCAGATTCTGCTGACTCGTGATTAGCATGGTTGTGGTGGTTGTGATTCCCAATATGATTAAGGTGATTAACGGTATGATTGGTGCTGGTTGATGATGATGCCGCGTGTTCTTCGGATTCGATCGTTGTATATGGTTGGTTTGCTACCATTTTTAGGAGAAATGTTAATTTAGGTGTTCAATACACACGATTAATAATCACACGCGCCCATACCATCTAATGTTTGAGGAATTTGCGTTGGTGGAAAGGTCTTAATTGCGCAAAATACGAGATTAGAATGTACGACTTGACAATCTGAATTTTATTTCAACATAATACGAGCAGTACCATGGAAGCGTAGAACAACCAACCTCATTTATAATATAATCATCGATCGCCTTGTCAATGGCTCTTTTAAACTCCTGTAATCGAATGTCTCCACGACTATGTATATGCTGGTCCGACGATTTGTGCATCTTAAGGGAGAGAACGAGAAAAGGTCAAAATAATGATCGGTCGGCCAACCACGCACAGAAATAAAAGGTCGAAGCGATGTACCTTCAATTCATTGGTCAAGTTGTTCACTTGATCGGTCAGTTGCTTGATGAGTTCATCCTTTTGCTGTCGATTAAAATGATCGTGAGAAAAACAACATTTTCAAGGTTTGAGGGAAAATTAACACGCATCGAACTGAGCATTCAAACTTTTCTTTATCGCCATCACTGTTGAAGCGCCGTACGCGTGAATGGCTGTTAGTGTGAGAGGGAGACAAAGAGAATACTCACACGGACAGTTGACTGCAAGTCGGTAACAAATTTTTGCATCGCCAACATAGGGTTACTTGCAAGCTGATATTTGCAAAAAAAAGAAAGGTGTGTATGCGCATTCACCGGTTGACTTCATGGTTTGGTTGAACGAACTTGAGTCAATAAAAAAAAGAAGTTGATCATACGTACAAGATTTGGAAACTGGAACTCTTCAGAGGCACCGTCCATTTCTGAGGTATTTCAAAACTCTTTGAACGCTTAGGAAGGCAGAAATATTGAGGGAGAAGAGGTGTTGAAAGGTCGTGCTCTCTTTTTCCTTTGAAAAAAATAGAATATCTCTGTTCTTTGGTATGTTCAGCGTATGTCGTATACGTGCGCAAATGACTTCGGGTGCACAAGAGGCAAAGGGAAAAATGGGTGGTCGTTTTTTTCGTTTCTAGGACTTTTTATACGGTATTTTATTTATGTATGTGGTTGTTAATATGAAAAAGGTTAATACGTGCATATAGTTTCAAATAAAGCATTATAGTAAGATAATTTATTATTACAATTACGTATTGAAAAATGGAAAAATTGGATATAAAAAAAAAAAATTTTTTTTGATTTACTGTGCGTTTGCATAAAAAGGATTTTGATATTCCTGCGCGCGGAGATGACTTTTTGCCAATGCAATAGCAAATTGGCAGCGGGTGGTGTTCGGCAAATAGGAGCGACACCTGGGTACCGTCTGATGTTTAGTATTTTCTCAGCTCTGCAATGCATCCAGGTTTCTATGTATGTGTGATACAGAGATATACGAAGCGAACACAACACATTGTGTGTGTGTGTGTAACCCCAAGCAGACATCTACCATTTACCGCGCATGTCTGGGATTTTCTTTTTTATGTGAACTACTACTACCGAGGGTTTCACCTGGGGAAGTAAAGAATGCCGCAATGGAAAACCTGATTGTTTACTATATTATACACAATTATGTTTGAATGAGAGGAAACTTGAATGGGTACTTGCTCTGCGAATGCGCACCATACTTGAAGGGATGGTAACCAGGAAATTTTCGGTAGACAAAAACAAACTTGACATAATGACACAATAGTAACGTAGATTTGGCATTTTTCTTGGGGAACGTGATATTGATTACGTCAAATTGCATTCAACACATGCATGCCAACATAACGACAATTCAACGCGGGGATCTTCCCTCCAAATTTTATTGATGAAAATTAGTAATTGGTGAAAGGAATTTCGTGGATGTCGTACGACGAAAGATTTTTTACGCTTCCGCCAATCCTTTTTCCGCTCGCATTCTCAACGAGGAAACAATGGTGTAGTAGCTGGGGATCGATTATCCTCGGAGAACGGGGAGAGATTATGCCTCTTGACGTACCGTTCGTTCGTGAGAGAAAGCGATATGGCAAAGGAGATGTCAGATATCCTTGGCGGGCCTTTGATCACATCCCATTTTAGAGATTCTTGGTCCGTTTTTAGAAAATCATGCCGAATAATTGTGGCGAGACCCCGTGAGACTTGCATAAATTAAGCTTCACACGCACTCAATGTATGCCGAATTTGCAAATGTGATATAGTCTGAAAGCATGTATCTATCTATGTAACCCTTTTCTTTCAGAAAAGGACGTCATTGAAGGAATATCTTCAATTGATCACTTTCTTAGAATGATCATCCACATGACTCGATCAAATAACATCATCATCTACGTCTGCCTCCCTCACGACTAATTATCAAACATCATTGCATTCACTAAGCTTTCGGGCAAATTTAATGTCCATCATAGATTGCCTCGGACATTAGCACAATAGTAAAATCGACAACCCTTTTTTTCAACTCACAGATCAAGCAAACGATCATTTAACTGCTAACTCTTGTTGATTCATCATGACCACGCACGCAAATCAATCGTTCGCACGTCAATGATTGATTGCACGTGCCGGCCGTATAATCACGACCGTTCCGACAATGTCACCCGCGGAAATTTCATGAGCGCGCGGTACGGGTGGGAAGTGGCGGTAAACTCATGATATCAAAGGTGAGGTGTGAGAGATATTTGTAATTATGAGATCGACTTTGACGAGAATCTATCGGTGGTCGTACGGTGACAGGCGAACAAATGGCGTGACAATCAATTTGTATACACAACTTTATTATTGATACGCTCAATCCTTCTTCATTCTTCATGTCCAACGCGAGCGGGCGGAAATGAATGACAACGAACGCGCGGAACGGTGGTCATCCCGAAGGTAAACACAGAAAACCTGTTGATGGTGACAATGCGATAAATTTCCTTCATTGTTTTCCTCAAACTTTAAATGCGTAGCTCATACATATTGTCACATTATAGATAAATTAACTAATTACTTATCTGAGAGTTCTACCAAAAAATGATTCTTTATGAAAATCACATTATACTACTATGGTAAAGATGTCCAAATAATCATTATTCTTAATAATCCTATTGTTTTCGATAACCATTTTTAGTGATTCCGGTTCGAAGAAAAAAAACCTGTATCTTCTTACAAATGGAGTTAATGCGTACCGCCCGACCACAGGACTCATACCTCGCCAAGGCTCTTCCCCCAATTACAGCTCAAATCCCACTCGTTTGTGTATACCTCAGAATCGCACTTCTTTGTGGACATTTATAGTACAAAAGAATGATTAAACTACATTCCTGATTTTCTTTTTTTTTTTTTTTTTTGGTCAAAATAAACAACGTACATCATTTTTGACGGTGTTACATAAGTAAGTTATTATTATTATCCTGTGCGAAGATAATCGTGATGTCCATCAACAGTTAGCATTTCTTCAAAATTTCATTCTCATTTTATTCATGACAGCTCACGTTGCGTTACGTTCGTGCGCGCATATGCGTGCGTCGCTTCTGAACATCGCCGCTCTCGATAATCCCCTCTTTGCACTGATGAATATGTCAATCGTTATTCGTCAACGGCGAGACACTCAACAACACATGCGAGTGACGAATTGATGGAGGTAACAAGCGTTATTATCATTCGGAGTCTGTGATTTCCCTTTGGCACCACCTTGAAATTCGTCAACAGTGATTCTCAACAACCTGGGAAAAAAACAATGTAATGTAGATACAAAATGTGTAATACAGCACGCAGCATCCAAAAGCGAATATACTGTATATACTGTATGCCAAAGAACCAAACAATATATGTGCGTGTATGCACACGACGTGATCACGAGAATTCTTTGTGAGCGTATGATGCGTGCATGTATACTCTCACTTTACGGCAAGGTGTGGCTAAACGAATCGGGTCGCATGATTTACGTCGTGCATGCAAATCGCTTTTGCCATTTAGGTATTAAAAAGCGTAATGCGTTCGGTCTCTTGTTTCTTGTCGTGAAGAAACAAACACGTTGTGTGGCGTGCATACATTTTTGGCACGAACGAAAAACAATTCGCGCTATTCATTTGAAAGATGTCAATGATCAATCTTGATAACACTTGTAGATTAACTTACGTACATACTTGCTTAAATAAAAATAATTACGCACATGTTCTCGACCATCAATAATAATACAGACATTTTGCAGGTGCGCACGTACGCGTGCGGCGGTGGATGACGGACGGTGTCAGCGCGAGGAGGGCCCAAGGTGATGCACGAGGAGAACCCTAAATTACTGATTTGCGAATCGAGGGATACGCAAATGCAAATAGAATATCAAAAATGCATGAAATGCAGAGACCAAGAAGCGCATTAATTAAAAACAGACACCGCGGAAACCTAATGAAGACCGATTCGAAAAAAAGAAAACGATGCAAATCCCCAAACTACTTTATTAAGTGATTCAACCTACGAGATCCGTGGTACCATCGGCCCCGAACCCCTTAATTGAAGAAATAAACAAAATCGAAAGCTTTTTTCAATGCGTCGTGCGCCATCAAAAAAAAATGATAATACTATTATTATTGTTATACAGTAGTATTGGAAATCTTTGGGCTATTCATTGACCCTTTTTTTTACTTAAAATATTAAGGAGACCTGCATTTCAACAAGTTTAACACTAATAAGTGTGTGCGCGAGAATTATTCGTGGTTGGCGTAAAATCAACATACCAGAGGAACTTTGATTAACCGGGCAGACAGATTCCGATTGGTAAATTGTGCGATTGCAACCTCTTAAAATTTGATGATCGAAAAAGAGAGTGATCACGAGGAATGGCTTGATCAAATGCCATTTATGCGAATGATAAATATTTGCAATAATAAATAATATTTTGTTTGTTGCACGAGTAATTTGGTGAATAATGAACAAACAAATAAATGGGTGGTTACAAGAAACTTTTACGTAGAGCGAAATGCCGAAATAACGTGACCTGTCAAGTAAAGTTGTGCTTGTTCACGTTCGCATTCCATCAGGTTAACCGCGACGCAAGAACGCCAGGTTCCCGAGCGCGTCAATCACGCGTGCATGGTATTAGCATGAGGTGATACTCCAAGATTTTGATTGGTCAAAAACTTGATAAAGATAATGATTTCGAGAAAGTACGGATGAGGTGACACACGTACGTGCGGAGATGCGAATATTTAGTTTAGCACTAGCAATTTTAAATTTGATAAGGGTGGGACTACAAATAGGCGCATCTATGACTATGACCGCACTCTGGTATATCGGAACAAACAATCTGCCACGAGCCATCTGATGTACGTGCGTACGTGGAGGGTGACTTTTTTTTACGCCACCAAACTCATGCACGCAAACGTAAGCTTGCATCTCTTCCTTTTGATAATAAGATCTCATCTCAACATTTTTAAACCTTAGTGCTGCAAATCTCTGCCCCAAGATATCACTGAAATCGTCAAAAAATGACGCAGCTTGCACTACTTCCTCGTCATGGACTCATCTCTTTATTTTCTTCATTGTGTGTGATCCATTTGGCAATGTGTTAGAGTATACATATTACCAGAATATCTGATTCATTTACATGCAGAAAATTTTTTTTTATGTAGCACACCAAAAATGAATCATTAAAAGAACTCGGTCAACCCGTTACCTCAAATTTCTCTTTGACAAATACCCGATTGCACGTAGGTATCAGCTCTTTCGCTCTTTCAATGGATACCGATTTGGCTCATTATATCGACACCTTTTAATTTCGGACTTTTCCAACCACTAACTTAATATTGACGGCTATTTTTTTCTTTTTTTGTATTTTGGTGGGGTTCTTGTATTTTTGTTTGTTTTGTTGTTTTGCATTTTGGATTTATTTTTGTTTTGCATTTTTGATCACATTGGAATTTACGAATTTCCTGGTCAATCCATTATTTCCGCATTCGTTCTCCTCAAAAGTTCTTTTTTTATACAGGTTGTATACATCCCACTTTCTATTGTGCATTCTCTTTATGGCAATTCTTAAGAGAGCTCAAAAGGGTCACACAAGGATTCCAGCAAATCTCACCAATACCCCAGATAAATAAATAACAATAAGAATGAAAACGGTTGATAATAAAATGCAAGGAGAAGAAATGTAGGTTGAAAGGAATTAACGGGAACGAATTAAAACAATGAACTTGTCAATTTGCCTTGAACGATGGTATGGAACCTGCGACATCCATGTGGGAGGGTTGAACCTAAACCATCTTCATAAAATCAACGAGCATAATGAATGAGAATGAAATTGGATGACAAAAGAAAAAAAAACCACTTAAGGTCAATTCGAAGACAACAATAATCCCTTAATCGATCTTGAAATGAATGGAAAATCAGTTATCCGAGTTACAACGGTATGTATGCGTTCACTGATCATGAAGATACAGGAAACCCCAATGGAGAGAGAGAACGAGATGTTTGCAATACACATTGGAAATGACAAACTGTCGAAGTATTCAAAGGCGTGATTCAATGTGCTTGATCCACGCTGGAGTCCATACAGTAAAATGCAATGCATTGGTGCGCTGGCAAAAAGAATATGTTGAGATAAATTCGTTCACTACTTTTGATTGATAAAATGAGTCATTCTGCGTATTTGTATAGGTGAATGAACACAAAGATGGTTAGTGATGCACAAGCTTGATTGGTGCCAAATCTTCAAGAGATTAGGAAATTCAGGTGAGTGGTGGATCTATTCGAAGGAAGCAAAACCCGATCTAAACTCATATTCGTTAAAGATTCACGCAATATACGTAAACAAACGCTAACGTCTTGATTGGTGATGCATGTTTTGCCGTGTCACAAGGACATCATCGTTCGGGATTAAGTGTCGCAAACATCACCGGGTGTGACTTCTATAAAGGCGTTGTATTATAATAATGTATACGATGTAAAGGATGTCACAAAAAATTAATTGCGCAACGACGTTACAAAAAGGTTAAGGACATTTATTACCTCTGTTTACATTTAATTAATTGTATCAAGAGGAACTGCATAAATAAATAATCTTGTTTGTCGGCAAACCCGTTCTATTTTTAAATTTCGTGTGTTTGGTTACAAATCAAACCGTACTTGTTTTTTAACGATGATG